TCAAGATTCAGAAGGAATTTTACAAATTAAATGATTAAAATTTTTTTTAAAAAAGTACAAGAAAAAGAAAGAAAAAAATGAATAAAAACTCACGTGGGCAGCTAGCCGCTTTTCAAGATTTATGTTTTTGTTTTTTTGGATAAAACTAATTGGGTAGAAGAATATTATGGGCTGGGCTACTGTCACGACCCGATTCGAAAATAAGGAATATTCCCGAATTAGGGTGTGAGTCATACCATGGTCATAAGAATAAAATTCTACAACCATAATATGATGAGAAAAAGGGCCACAAATGAATATAAATTTACTTAACACAGAATCAGAGTCGCAGTAGCTCGTAGTTAAATACACACTAAAATCTTTATCACACCGTTGACTACTTACAAATGTTAATTACACAAATTAACAACAAAAGCCTAGTGGTTTGGTTGACTTCGCTTTGAATCCTACACAATCTATTAGGCTATGAGCATTATAATGCCCAGTAGAGTATCGTCAAACCCCTCAAGGTCAGCTATCACAGTTAATCAAAGTGTCATGCATCAAAGAACACAAGATACATAAATTATGCAACCATACAAGATAAATAAATTTGCATATGCAGTGATGCCATGAACTCACTCCCTTCTAATCCCACTAATTCATACCTTAGGGGAACAAGCCTGCATGTCCCATACCATGTGTTTTACCACTGTGGCTCCGAATACCTTAAAATATGAACTAGCGCCCATCCGTCCCTTAACCCAGTTTTCTTTTGTTTTACGAATTTCTCAACTTTCACTTTCATTAGAGGCCCTGCTCTCATCACCTTAGTACATTCAAGCCTTGCTCCCGTCACCTGAATATATTCCATATTTTTATTACTCAGATATATCTAAGGTCTTCTCTCACCCCTTAGATATACCTCAAACGGCACACGCACACACACACCCTCAAAAGGCACACGAGCACACGCGCGCACACACACACACACACACACACCTCAAACACCACTTTCTTTATGATGCATATGTAATGCAACACAACCATAATTTATCTGTGCGGAATAATAATACAAATAATAACAATAATATTTCATATTTAATCACATGAATAATAATATTTTACCCAACGTCAAAATAATATTCATGGAGAAACATCAATAAATATTCACATAACATCAAATAATATTCATCAAGTAAAGCAACAACAATATTCATATTTATAATATCATATAAAAGCACTAAGATTAAAAGTGACATAACCCAATCATTGGGAAATCAGGAAACCCTACCTTAGGTCCAACTAGCTTAACCTTGTGCATATTCGTCCTTAAAAGTACGTAGACCTAAAGCCCCAAAAAACACTTGACAAGTTATTCGACCCGATCATTACTCCCTTAACCTCACGTTCAAACAAGCATTAGAACCAAGCGTCAAGGAAAAACCAATCTATTCCCTTGCTATAATTGTTCTACTCTTTGGGATGTTTAAAATCAGGTGGTTCGGCTCTAGACTCATAAAGAAAATTTAAAACAAAAACTTCAATTTTGCTAAATATTTAGGTTGGAACACATTAACTTTGAAAATTCACTAAATATTGAGTTTAAATCAAAATAATGTAAAAAAATTTCAGATTACAACTAGACATAGAAAAATTAAAAATGTCAGAATTTGATGGAAATTAGGGTTAAGGAAGCATGTCAAAATAGAAACCAAAACAGACTAGGCTGCAAAATGTTCTTTTCTTCAGGTTTGTACACTTTTTTATTTTGAAAACTCACCAAAATTTCAATTGACAACCAAAATGGACAAAACTTTCTAGATTTGAAGAAAATACGTGAAAGTAATACATATTAAAATTTCATGAAAATCCAAGTTCAGGAAGTTTTCAAACACGTATTCAAACATGGCATGCGGTAGAATCAAAACAATTCCAAAAACATAGTCTCTAATTTGAAATTTCACAAAAAACTTAATTTAAATTCAAATGGCACAAAACCAACGTTGAAATAACCCTTGAGATATCAATTTTGATGTAACAAAATTCTAGAATAAAATTGGCACAAAATCACATTGAAATAATCTAGAACTTCACATAAACGCATTTTGAAAGAAATATATATGTCATTGAGGCAATCTAACCAATACTTGATTTACAACTAGTACTCAAAGAGACAATAAGAAAATGAGCTTTACACCTTCAAAGAATCATTTACCTGAGATGATAGTGGCTAATTTTATCAATTGAAAAACAAGTAACAAACCATTTGAGAGAAAGTACACATCTATAACAAGAAATGCAATATAATCAAAGAACAAGTTCCACTCTAAACTTTCCCAAGGTGGCTATAGAAGTCCGATCAACCTAAATTTTTGATATGTTATAGTAAACAGAATTTTGAACAACAATTTGATGAAGGAACCAAAGTCATTTGAGTACAAGAAATCGTAGAAATATATTGAAACCGAGCATACTATTGTGAAATCCGAAAATGGTAAACATACTGTGATCATACCAAGTTTTCTGAGTCAATACTAATCGGATTGTGGTGAAAATGGAGTATGTTATAGGAATAACGTAAATAAACAACTTTTATGAAGGAAGTTTTCTCATTTGAGCTCTCTAAATTTGAGTTCTCAGCTGCTCCAAGGAAGTGAGGAATTTTTGAAGAAGAACAAAAGAAGAATGAGGATGAAAATATGTGAATGAGGAAGAAAGGGATGACACAACGAATGATGAGGATAAGAATAATTTCATGATTGGAGATTCTAAGAGGTGAGTCATCAATTTAGAGTGATAATACAATGAATGGGGAGGAAGAGATTACATTCATGATTAATTAAGGAATCTTTGGCTAGGTGAGTCATCAATTTAGAATAGGTGACTCACCACTAATTAAACACACTTAATTTAATAATCTTCATTCAAAATCACTTGATAAAATACCCATAATCATTCTCCACCATAATATTATTTCTCACTAAAATATGAAAATCCACCTTGAATTTTTCAGTGTATTACAGCTGCTTTTCAAGCCTTTGTAGAGGCTAGACTAACTAGATATTGCAATTTAAAATTTTGGGTCGGGCTCCAATCTTATCTAGACAGGGGTGAGTTGTACCTATATTCAAGTAATATTGAGGAGAGTGAATATGAATTCATGAAGCTGGAGTGATTAAGCACCATTAGGTATTTAGGGTAATGTGCATTTTTACTCACTACTTTAATCCAAGGTGTATTCTCACTACCCTTCTCAACACTTAATACATGTCCATGAACATAACCATGGTTCCACAAATACAAAGCAAATAGTTAACTATGGTTATGCCCATGGACATATGTCAAGTGTTGAGAATGATAATGAGAGTACACATTGGGTTAAAAAGGTGAGCAAAAATATTTCCATTTGCGGTATTAGAATTGTAGTTTTGCATTTAATTTTGTGTATCTCTTTGTTTGTGGTATGGCTAAGCTATACTTATTTAAGAGCTTCTTGTTGTTAAACAAAAAGTATTAAACCCCAATTTTGCCAGTTTTAAGTTGAATAAAAAAGTTTATGAAATCCTCATATTAGTTTTGATTGGAATTGGGATTCCAGTTACTACCAATACTTCAAGTAGGAGTATAAATCCATTTATGAGAAAGTTAACATGTTTATACTCTTTTTTGGCTGTGATTTAAAATAAAGTTGTCTTGATTGTATATAACAAAACTCATTAGCTGGATACAATCTGGAAAGCAAATTCTTGCAAAATAAAGAAAAGGTGAGATGGGGGTAGGAACCAAATTAAGCAAAAATGTCAAGATTAACATTTAATATGTTGAAAATAAAACAAGAAGGTATGTAATTGAATGAATAAAGGTGGAAAAGGGGGAAAAGAGAAATGTTCATGGGCAACGTCTAGCCTAGTAAAAAAGAGTCTTGATTTGTAGACTCGTGGTCTTAAGATTTGACACATATCAAGTGTATGACACTTGTGGAACCACTACAAAGGCTACAGTGGGATGTAGCCCAAGGAGATTTTTGGGGGAAAAAAAAAAATCAAACTTATATATTTGCCTTCTTTTTAAATACAACCCGGTATGTATGAACCTATTAGAGTTCAAAAAAGTTCAGTTCTTTCTGAATTTAGTTGCATGGTAGCAATAAAAATACACATTAAAATATGTACTTTTTCAATTATGTTGTTGAACATATTTTCATTTTGATAATATGTGGCTTCGGGTTTCATTTAATATGTATTTGTTTTATGCTAAAGCTTATTGAAAATTGCAAGAGATTTGTAGCTCAAATAGTTAAGTTAAGACCATTTACCCTTGTCCTAGGTTTGATTCTCCCTTTCCCCAATATCGCTTGTATCCAGAGAAAAAAAATATTTTAGAAGAGTTATAAACTAGCGTGGTTCATATGATTAGTATACTTTTATTTCTAAAAGGACTATAGAAACTGTAAGAACATTAAAAAAAAAAAAAAAAACAAAGATCATAGATTTTTAGCTAATGACTTTAGTTAGCCCGCCCATTGAAAATTCATGATTCCAACATTGGTGTATGAGAAACTCCCTCTTTATAGTTTAGACTATTGTTTATAATAAAAAAAAAATGTTAATCGGTCTTTTTTTTCCTTCTTTTTTTTCTTTTTCTACACTTGATCTTAGCCAAAAGGTCCAGAAAGGTATCTCTTAGAAAAGTAAAGAGAAGTAGCAGGAAAGATGTTGCAGAGAGCACCACATGTCCACCATGCAAAGGTGCGAACAGAACAGACCAAAACTTAATTCATCAATTAAAATTTTCCCCGTCCCAAAAGACAAATAAATAAATAAACATAATTAGGCTTTATCCCCACCTTTTATAAAAAATAAAAAAATATAAATGCATAGTCATGAGATGTGAACACAAAATTCTTTTTATTTTATTTTTATTTTTGATAAATTATAAATAATTGGTGGGAATAAAGGGTTATTATTAAGATAATTAAGATACATAGTGTTCACATGTAACGCCTGGGACTTACATGGTTTTTGTGAATTCTGAGTAGGCGTTATTTTCAATGGTGGATACTTACAAGAAACCTAGGCATTATATAAAGCCTGCTCACGTACCTCGACCAGTCTCATTCACAGTTTGCCTCCTCTCCCTACAAACGACATAGCAATTGACAATGGCAACCCTCATTGCTCCAGGCCACTTCTCTCCTAACGAGGACGCAGAAGCTCTTCACAAGGCCTGCAAAGGTACTCTCTCTAACTTTCCTTTTTCTTTTTCTTTTTCTCAATTAGCAAAAATGGAAGAAAAATAAAAAGGAAAGTAAATTGAATGTCTTCTGAATCCAGCAGAAGTCATATCCAACACACCCTATAAGAGATTGCCATTTTGCTACCATCTACTAATGACACACCAAAGCCAACCAAAACACACCTAATCACCAATCTGAGCTGTGTTTGCATAATGGGTAAAAACTCTGCTATAAATATTAGGCATTGCAGTATCACATAGCACCAAAGACATTATCTTCAACAATCATCAATGGCTACCCTTATTGCCTCTGAAAACTTCTCCCCCACTGAAGATGCTGAAGTTCTTAGAAGATCTGTGAAAGGTTTAATTATTTCTTCACCATTCAAATTTTATTTTTTTCATGTACATGCAGCTGATTTTATGGTCTATATTTTTTTCTTTTTTGGTAGGATGGGGGACTGATGAGAAGGCTGTAATCTCTATACTGGCTCATAGAAATGCAGCTCAGAGATATGAAATCAGGCTTGCTTATGAGGGGCTTTATCGTGAAGATCTTATCAAGCGCCTTGAATCGGAGCTCTCCGGGGATTTTGAGGTTTTCTCATAATATTTCATCACCCTACTTATAATATTGTTGTTTATTTTTTCTCTGTCATTAAATATTTATTTATAATAAATTCATGATAAATATATATAATTGTTCTGCCTTTTGTTGTTGTGTATCACAAAACATAGAAATCTCCGAAAGCTTTTGCCCTTTTCCGACAAAGATATTGAAAACGGGGTGGAAAAAAGAATATTCTCACCTAAAAGAGCAATTGAACAAATCAATATGCCGTCAATAAATTATTAATTTCAAGTACTTTTTTTTGTTTAAAAATAATCTTGAACAATTTATCTAACAACAATAAATTAATGGAACTTATTGGTATGTTAGGATCTGGCTCTAATCGATATGTCGATTTTTTGTTACAAGAAAGTGGGCGCATATTTTAATAATATTAAGAGCATCTCCAATAGCCTCTTCAACATATTTTTTTTTAAGTTCATCTCTACATGCCGTGTTTTTTTTTTTTTGAAAACCAAGATTAACCATGTATTTCTGGTTTATAGCTTTTTTATGTGATACTAACAAAAATAATTTCATTTGGGGATGGCATGTATAGAAAGCAGTGTACCGTTGGATATTGGATCCTACAGATCGCTATGCAGT